CATGTTTCAATTAAATATTCATGTTGCGTGAAGCGTCACGAGACTACGATTAGAGTTTAATAATCATTCTCTATCTACATTGCTGTACTCGGGTTTGTTTACTTCGATTATTTGCTCAATAATTGCAGTCGTTTTCAAAGTCAAGATGATTATCATAGAGACAATTGGAGAGAGAAAAAAGGGTAAAGCACCATGTTGACCGATTCACACATCGAATTATATTTATGTTCTGTTCCCATATACGAGTAGCGTACATCGTTACAATCCTATTTATTCGCTACTAGACACAGTAGTTTTAAATAATGAACTTAATCGCGAAGGCCGTTACTGTACATGGCTACTCGACAAGATTTCTCATCGATCGACATTTATTATTTATTAGCAATAATCTCATCGTATTATAGACCATTGTCCGTGCTTGTATTCTTATCCATAAAATATTTCGTAACGCATAAAATTATATGTTTATGAATAAATAGTAGCACCCATTACAAATTCATTAAAATTACAACATACAAAGCACATGATAGGTGAGTATAAATTGTCGAATTAAAATATAAAACGTTACAGATTTCGAACTGAAATTAGTTTCCTAATTCTTATAGATTATGTTTACTTACTAGATTAGTTACCATTTACATAAGTGTTAGGAGCTCACTGCTGTTTACTTGTATTACTTCCCTTATTTAATAACGATACAAGTTATTCGTATTTAAATTGTAGCAAAAATTCGATATATGTGAAACAATATTATTGTATACTTGTAGCGTTAAAATCTTACACATAAGGTAGCATAATGCTAACAAACAGTTTCTTTACACGAGATCATTCGTCAGTCATTTCTTATTACATGCAAAACATTTTGTCTCGAAATACATGTATTTACAGTTTGATAGTTCAAAGATATAATATTCTTAATATTATTTGTACAAATCCTTATTATATTGACATAGTTAAAAGTTATTTTTGTACATAATTAACACATTGTAAATTATTTTGAACAGAAATTTCGTCACTATCAAATGATCGAAGTTCTTCAATAATTGTTATTGCAATTTGAAAAATATCTGAATTGCTATGATAAATAAAATTAAGTTTGCAAGCTAAAATAAATATGTTTAAAAATTAATTAATAGCAATTAATAATAACAAAGTTTAAATATTAATATGAAAAATGAGTCTTATTTTCTTTACTAATATGAAAAATTTACATCTAATATGCTTGTATTGATTCTTAATTTTCAAGACTCTCACGCATTTAAAAATTACAGAACTACAAAATTATCTGTTTAGAAAATACGATTTTACATTTATTTCAATTTCAATTTTTATTTCGACAGAATATATAAAAACGATGAATTAGTAATTTGATAATGAAATGAAATAAGATGTTAGACTCTAAAAGTTTGATTCTCAATTCTAATTCTAATTTAATGCAACATAATAATGATTATAATTTAAACAGTCTAACTATAATATTTTATTTGATGTACAATTTTAAATCTGAAAAAAATGTTGTTTTTGCTACTACTGTATTACACATATGTATATATCATTAATATACTATTATAAATAATAAAAATATATTATATAGTTATACAAACTTTTAACAAGAAATAAATTTATGAACTTCTTTTCAACTAAATTAATGTATACAAAAGAAATAAAAAAGTAAACAAAGTATAATATTATAATATAATACATGTAATAAATAACAATAATGTTTAAGTCATTTTATAAATAAAATTGTTTTGTTTGAACTAAAAGAATCTAACATCTTATATAATTTTTCTAGGACAATGTATCTGTCTTGTGAAATATCATTAAAATTGAAACTATATCAGCACCATACAGTTAAATATGATTAATTCTTATGAACTCTAGGATCATACTGAATAATGCACAATCTCGTACCAAGAGTATAGAAACATTTCTGTATGTTCATAAATATAGAGCATGCAAAATATACACTTTTAACGACAAATGTGCTTTCTTCATATAGAAAATATCTTGTTTCAAAGATTTTTTCTAAATTAACAACCGAGATTTTATTTAAGACAATGATGTTTAGCAACTCACTCTGTATACCCTGTCGTTCATAGAATCGCTGAAAATTACAATACAATACTAATAGTGAAATGAAGTTGAAATACTGTACACGTTTTTCCCGAAAATTACGAAATTGAATATTTGTTTCGACCTAAAATTATTTATTCTTGAAGAATATTCATTTGTTTCTAATATTTAAAAAACAAATCGACGTGTATTAATACGCATTTATACAAGGTGTTCCATATTTTTCGGTTTACGTACATACAATTTTAATTGATAATTATAATTAAAAAGTACATTAGATAAAAGTTAAAGACAGTTCTTGCTTTTTACCTTTTAATTTCTTGCTCTTTACTTTTTAATCGATCTGTTCTACTTGTGAAAAGAATTATGCTATAATAGATAACATACATAAACAGAAAATAATAAATATCTTTATATTTTGATTTAGAATCATAACTAACAGATAAGAAATATCAGTATGGAATTAATATACATTTAGTTACTTATATAATTTATATAATTTAGAATGATACAGAATACTTTTTTAAGCATAATTGTGAATGAATGATCTATTGAACATGTAAAGAATTACATATTTTTAACTTGAACAGTTGCTCTACTTTAACAAAAAATATAATCTCAGACATCCATCTTTAATAATATCGTTACTTGCAATAATTTTAATATCTATTGTAATTTCTTTAAATGAAGTCACTGCTTTGTTACATTCATTACGCATTTTTAAATATAAATACATAATATGTATGTTAAATTGATGAGGTAAACAATTTATTGTTAGTTATGTACACGATATTCTCAGAAAACCTCGCAATATTTCAAATTAGGCACGAATATCAAAAATACTATATCACAGTGGAAAATGATTATTAATACTTACGAATATAATGCATGAAAATTCTTAATAAATAACTTGTTACAAGTATGCCTTATTTATCATATTAAATGAACCTTGAAATACACAATGAATACTCTAAAAATATATAATTTACTTAAAAGTATGGTATTAATATTAATATCTTCTGAGAACAATAATCTCACGAAAAAGTGTTGTTCAATATTCTATATCATCCATTAAATCATACAATTGTCACATAAACTATTTTTATATGTAACAGTTTCTATAAGTACATTGGATGACATAAAATAGTTTAATATCTTGAATTTCTTTTTTTATTGTTATAATATTATCCACAAGAAATCTTAAAAAAAGATCTATTTTCAATTTTCTATGCGAAACTAATATACTTTCTAACCTTAATAATGTCGTCAATATTTTCGTAAATCGATTACAACAGAACACCCTGTATGTACATAAATTGAGAGTAACTAATCTTATTTGTACTATTGTAATACATTATAAATGCATTTGAAATTACATTTATAGGATCAATTAACGTGTAAAAGAATTTCGTTGCCATAATTAAGTTATTAAGCGTTAGAAATAAATTTTTAGGCATATGTATTTGCAAAATTATTTTTAAAATATCAAGAAAGTTTTTCAATATGAAAAATTTGATAATAAATATTTATTTTTACAGAGATGTGAGCTAATAGGTCAATGTTGTGTAAAGAATATGTATACAAAATTCCACATTGTACTTAAAATTTGAATAGCTAAATATTCTGTGCTTATGAATGTGAATGTATTGTGAATACTAGTTTACCAACTTAATATTATATAGGTTATAGTGAATTGTTCGAAAAACTGTAGCGTTTTCTGACGAATATTGGAATTAAATTTAGTGATAATTCATCAGGCCATGGTAATTTTCTTGTACTGGTGAAGACTTGACAAGAATAATCAATTTTTGACTAAAATGTCTTAACCTATTAACCTAATTCATTAATCTGAGTACTTTCCGAATATGTTTTAAAAAATTGAAAAAAGATTTCGGGAAATTTGAAATAAACAATACACATATACATTAGTGTACAAAATATTGATAATTCTATATAAAAACATCATCTATGAATTTTTTCCAAATTTTGCTACAAATTTTTCGAATTACCCAATAATAAGGAAATGTTCCAATAATGAGAAATCCAGTGATGATTATATTTTAACGACGTGCATGAAATTAATAGAAAATCTTCAGAGTAATTTTTAATATCTTTCTCAGCCATATTTTTCGACGACTCAATTTAATACAATTTCTTACTCTGACGTTGTTATTAGATTCATGACACATGACTGAAATGAAAGAACGTGAATGATGAAGGTGAGAAGCAAAGGGAAATTGGAATTTTCAACAGAATCTAGAATTTCCCAAGTCCCCAATGCAAATCCATAAACGCAATGTATACACGGTGTATGAAGAGTCGTACTCCTGTTAACAATTCATACTATACCCATGGGCATACGTACACGTTGTAACTACCTTTATACAAAATTCACAACGTCAACGTGAAAGATTTGTCTCGCGAGACACCAAGTATTTCCTATCGTGTGAAACCCGAGCATCGAGTTATGCATGTATTTATTAACGATGTGCTTCAAGAGTTGTTAAATTGTCTTCGACATTACTCTCCTTAACAATGTCAAACAACTTGGTACAGCGTGCTAATCGTGGTATTTCAATGCATATTGTATTTACGTCTTCATTACGATCTACGAGCTACAACGCTTATTTCCAATAGCATGCTCGATACTCGCGTTGAAGCACGCTGACAGTGACGCACATGTGTTGCTGGCTTTCAGGGAACTATTATACCACGCATGCGCCGACATAGCGATAATATAAACAGTGCCTGAGGTTTGAGGCCGAGCTGAACGCCGCCTAACAAACTCGATGGTATTTCACAGCAGCTTCTTTCTCGTAGAACTTCAAACGACACTTTCTTTCTTTCTTTGTGCGATTTAAATCGATGGTACATGCCGTCGATGTTGCAATCGAGGTATTCATAAGACGAAACTCGGAATTACGTCAACCCTGTTTCGAGGTACCCGGTGAATTTGGATTTTGTCCGCCGTTGTTTGATTGACCTGCAATTAGGCCGTGTAAATGCAATTATCAATTGTACAGTTTAAATAGTAATAAAAGTTATAAAAATAAAAAATTGTTTTTCGCGGAGGAGAATTATAAATTTTATATTGAACACAGTGGTAAATAATGTAAATGCGAGGATAATTTATTTTAGTTCTTAAAGCTATCGCAAGATAGAGCTACATTCGTGTCAGCTAACGAACACATGGTTTTGTTTATACTGAAAATCTTCATATCTAGCATTTATATTATTTATTGTTCATTATTTTACCTGTATTTTTATTAATGTTTCAACGAATTGCATATCAAATATCGAGAACATCTATGCATGTAATTTTTGTTTTATTAGTAAATGTATAGAAGTTTGATATTGATCGCGCTATTAGTAATGCGAATTGCGTTGTTTCTTTTTCTTGTCATCAAAATACTACTTTGCTTTCAGTGTAAAATTTTACGGACATTTTATAAAATTTCAAGAAATCAGGAAATTTCTATGAAAGGTAATCAAGATAAAATGAACAGTTCTATTTGTTCATTTTTTGACAGTTTATTTAATAAGTAAACAATACTAGGTGGATAACAATTAAAGAAATAATCATATACATAAATGTACAATGTGTTTGTTAAAATTTGCTTTCAATGTATACACATTTATAAATCATTAGTCATTTATTGTAAGAAGCAAGAATAAGTTTGATAATTATGAAATTATTTTGTTGTGCATTGATTTTGTAATTAATCAGATTGCGCAGTGATAATTATATGTATATGTATATGTATGTGTTTTTGAATACAATTAAAAATCTATACGAAGTTTTACGCCACTCTTTCTGGAATATAACTTGAATAAATGAATTGTTTATAAAATAGGAAACATAAAAAACTTTTCGATCAAAATATAAAATACTTTAGTATTTAATAAAATATTTTACTGTATATTACCACTTGATACAATATATTTCAAAATACATATTATATATGAAAGTATGTAACAAACTTTTTGTATCTTTTAATAATTATTTCACGGTTTTTTTTAAAACATTTTAAAACTTTCTTTTTAAGTTTATTATTCTGGTTTTTGTATTTAAAAATATAGAAAATAAATATAATCAATTCGTAATCACATTCTATTTCCTATACATTATTTACATTATTTACATCGATTATTTACAAATTATTAACAAATTATCAATTTGTAAAAGGTAAATCAAGTTTTGTTACAATGGAAATGCGAAAATTCGATATATTATACCAAGTCTAAAATTAAAAATAGTATAATTTGAATTTGTAATACAATTACATAAATTGTAATATAACTATTACTAAAACAAATACTTATTTATTAGTATTAAACAAATTACTTTTATCTTTCATTACTACATTTAACACAAAGATAGTTATATTCATCTTTACTTCTCAACAACTCAAGATAAAGTAAACCAAAGTTACGTAAATTGACGAAGAATAAAATGGCTGCTGCTCTGTATTTTATTTACATAACACGTTCGAAGCTTATATGTACTATTCTTAAACACAGTTATCCATTATATTCTCCGTATTCGAATGTTCTACATGCACGTGGACTCACTGAAGAAAGACAATGATCTAAAATTTTATCCGAAAATTCAGTAATGCTAAATTTTATTTTAAATAAATTAAAATCTTGTTTTTATAATTTATTATTTTGTAAATAATCATATATTAACTTTTTTACACGAAAATTTTGTATATCGTAAATTATACAACACTTATATCACTATATACTTTATTATTAATATATTAATAAATTATAAAATGATGAATGAAACGTATTTTTTCCTGACTTTCCAATTGTTAAACAATATATATTAAAATTATTAAAACTGCATATAGTATACAAGAAATAAAAATATATAAAAACATATATAAGAAATTAAAAAGCTAATACAGAATACCAATTATAAATCCTTCAGATTTACTTTTAACAAATATTTTCTGTATTTTGTCAAATTTTTTCGTTTCTTTCTCGCTTTTCTTGTATTTCAATTTGTTCTCTATTTGAGAAAACATTTCATTCATTTTCTCAGAGTATATTTCAAAATTGTTAAAAACTAATCTCTAATCAGAACCAACAGAAGTACTGAAGAATTCTAAAATAGAAACAATTTCACATTAAAAAATGATCCCATATATTAAATATATTATTTAAACAATAATATCGTTTCTCAGAGTCCACGTCATTCCTCATTTCGTCGCTGAGTCACACTCGAGAATATCCATCAAGATAGATTACTGCTCGTATGGCTAACCTGTCTCCACGGAAAGTTCCTCGAAACGATCCGGCAAATCTAGCATTCCAGTTTCAGCATGACGGCCCAAAATCTCCGTCAGAGCATTCCTTCTTCCGGTTCTTCCGGTCGAGAGGAATTCTTTTGCTCTGTCGTCGCTATCGTACGTGCCTGGGGCGCGTGTGCTATGCATATACGTCCCTGAACCATTGCTTGCCGCGCCAGGATCCTTTGTGTCAGGTCCATTGCCGATCTCCTCGGGACTGATTGATCCCGATCGTCCCGGCGTTAGCATTTTCTTCAATGCTGCAAATTATTATCATTATTTTCGTTATCGTTGGACAGATTTATCTAAATTATTTCTTAACATATTCGGTAATTTTCAAAGGAAGACATTTTGATACAAATATCTCCTTTTGATGAACAAAGACGATGAAATTAATACATTTATTCATTCGATCTGTTTTATAAATATTTTTATAATATTTTCATATCAATATCAATTTAGAATTGTAATGTCATTTTCATTACAGATACAGGCGGCCTTTGATACGTTTACGACGTTATACGAAATAGGTTAATATGCATTTTTCGCATCCAATATGGCGTCAGCTAGCGTTCACACGTGGATATAGGATAACACAAGATTGGCAAAGGAAGGTCACGACTTAGACGAGCTATTTTTGAACGGAAATGGACTTAAACTATGTTAAGGGCAGTAGAATGCAAGTTCGAAATATGGACGAACATCTGCTACTACCGTTGCATCGAAAGCTTCCAATTAAGCATAATAATACGAAATTAATTCGGTCGATAATTCGAGTATGTCAGTGAATCGTATTATTAATTGCATAATCGAAAACAATGGCGGAAATTTAAATATTATTTATAAGCTTCTGGCATTTCCTATCAAACACTAGAATTATCGACCCCGTAATAATTAAAATGAAACGATGGAAATAAATGTATATAATTATATTCTTATCTTAATAAAAGACAATATGAATTGTGTCAGAAGCAACTGCACAGTTTTGGTGGAGAAAATGTCTCAAATTAGTTATTTTCATCGATTTTGTAGTTGCACTGTTAAAAACAGAGTTTTATCTCATGCAAAAGTTGTACCTTGGACCTCTCTTCTAATTATTTTCTAATTATCGTGTCTTTATACGAGGTGAATCATTTGGCTTTGCTATCTGAAATTACTTGCAATCTATTTGTTAAATGAATAAATTTTTCAAACAAACGTTGTTTCGTGTCAAAGAGGATGTATAGCGTAATAAATAGTCTTTTGTTATTTAATTTTGTTATCGACATATAAACTGTTTAGTAATTTTTTACTCAACTTTCTGTACTTTGTTGAATCACACGATTAAAAATTATATAGGGTGTCACATAACTTCTCTACGAGGAACAAGTGTCAGAAATCTTGAACTATGTATCTCAAAGAAAAATATTTTACACGATATCAAAGACAAAATATAATACTAAAATGATATTTTCATACAATTCATTTGCTTATGAGATATTAAAGTGACCATGAATTTCTTTAATGAAATGCAATTTAAAAGAATTGTGGCCAAATTATGTGACTCACCCTGTATATTATAATTAAAAAAACTGTTCTGTACATTATATTTTCTATCATATACTATATTCTCTTATATAGTATAATAAAGTAACACAGTACAAGTAATAATAAATAATAAGCAACTAAAATAGTATAGTAAGTAATATAGTACACCAAAGTAAGCATATGTTTAAAAAAAAGAAGAAAAAAAAAGAAGAGAGAAACTACCAGAAGATTCATAAAATGTGTAATTTCTGATTATTATTCATTTTATTTCTAGACTCAATTATTCAGTGCTCGACGGTACTTCCGACTATGAGATTAATGAACTAAAATATTCGAGTTCTCAGAAATTGCAGAAATTTCCATCCGCGTTGAACTTGGAGCAATACGTCAGCTTTTAATACGGAGCTATTAGGTAATATAAATATTTGTGGAACAATAAAGGAAAAGAAAACTTTCAAATTAGATTAAGATAACTTAATGCAAGATTACACGCGGACAGTTTCAACTGAATATAATTTAACGAGGAATATCTATTCAGAGATAACTACATTCAGCGAAAACTGAAAATTAATTTATAAAAACTGAAGGTAACTGGAATGGAAATTTTAAACGAGATACTATTACAGCAAAATTTGTCATTTTACATAAATAACGTATATTTAATAATATTTGTTGTTTCTTTTCAGTCGTTATTTATCATATTATAAAAAAAGAAAAGGAAATTTATTGTAATATGTGTGTACCATATGACAAGATTCATAGTTTTTGTGAGTTCTAAAAAGATTCTGAAATGGTCTTTAGCATCACCTTGGAGAGATTACTTTTATGACGCTAGCAGGTATACCTTCTTCTTATTTTCAGTGTTAACAGAAATAAATAAATGAGACATCCTATATATAATTTATAACAAATAAAATATATAACTTGTATGATAAAAATGACAATTATTAAAGATGATAATTAATCATGAAAATTGTAAATAAAAATAGTTTATAATAATAGTATTATTACAATAATTATAAATAATATAGGTTAAAATAGTATATAATTTACTGTTAATTTCTTGACTTTGGTAAACTCTAAAAATGTTATCTCAGATATCAATTTAATTCAACTTTAAATGATTTATTTTATTTATTTTGTTATATAAGTACAAACTGTTTAGAACGGTCTAGAAATTTTTGGTAACCCTGACATTTAATATAGAATGATAAACGTAATTTTCAAAAATATTTCTTTCTTTTAACTTCATTTTTTAAATATAAGAGAGATTTTTAAAATCTCCATAACTTAAAATTAAATTTCTATATATCATTATATGATATACAATTATTAAATGCTTCTTACCAAATTAAATACAAAGAATGAAAATATAAAATGGAAGAAGATCAGGTCTAATTTCTTTTCACTATTATTCACTGTCACTTTTTACAAAATTGACAGAAAACTGTAATAATTATTTGAGAATATACATACATTTACAATATTGAAGAAATAATTATAATGCTTCAATACGAGACATTTAACGTGTAGACACAAAAAACAACTGATTTAGTCAAACCAGTTTGAAGCGATAAATTTATCTTAATACGTGATAACTTTATCTTAATATGAAATAATTCGTGTCCCCTTATTTAGATATACAAAGCATATCTCCAAAAAGATTTTATCTTCCAGATATAATGACAAATATACATATGTTTTCTCAAACGGTTTCCATAGATCATCTTTCAGTTTTTAAAATCATTTTTCTCGTTACATTTTACAAGAAAAAGTTCTATTAAAAGTACCTATTTCTATTTGTTAAGAACAAAAATTACAATAATTATTATTTCATTACAATATTACAGTACTGCTTTTTTGTTAATTTCATTAAATATTTTATATTTTCAATGATTCTTAATTTTTATTTTATATAGCTAATATTTGATGATTTTTTAAATGCATCAATTGACAGATTGTTAATAAATTATTATATTACTGGTCATTATATATCTAAAATATTTTTGGTACAGTATTTTGTTTTATAAGACGTAATTTTCAAACAAGTATATAATCTTCAATATTTGAAGTTTAAATTAGAAAGAAATTTTTAATAAATAAAACAAAATGAAAAAATTAATTCTACTTGCCAACGTATTTTATTTATTTATTTTTTTTATTTTATTAAAAAAGAGACACAAATGGAAAACGCGTTAAAGAATAAATATGAAAAATATTATTTCCTACCACTCCCTGCTTCAAGATAAATGTTCAAATGTAAAAATATCACTCAAATATTGATATTTAATCTTCTTTATCATTGCGTGACATGATTCTATAAACTAGGCCGTTATAAGAATAGACAATAAATTGGATTTTCAATCAATTTTTCTCGAACTTTTGTTTTGAATTTTTACTCAAAATTTTGTATGGTAGAGAGATTGATAAAATATAACAATATTGTATAGCAGAATGTAATTACACTCTTCTCTGCACGAAACGAATGAATATTTTTGTATAAAACAATCTGTGTTGTATGATAACTCTTTATACTTGACGTACAATTAAAGTATAATTATACTTTCACGTAAAGTCGTTTAATATTCTCTAGGTATATCGATTCTGTCCATCACTATACTAGATTGCCATTGGGAATCAGATATTTTTTAATATATCTCATGTTTTATATTAATTTTAAAATATTCATTATTGTTCATTATTTTGTTCAAAAACCTGTCATAAAAAAATACAAAATTGATTTTATATATATTGAAGTTCAATATATATGTAAGTAATAGCATGAGAGTTATGAGCTATGAGTGATATACAAAGTATAGCATAATCTAATAAACAGAACTATTCTTTGTATCAAATACAGCAAAATATAATATATAGTAATATGTATATTGTTATTAATATAATATATTAATATCATACTATCATACTAATATATTATTACTAATAATGTACAGTAAATATGTATATATTTAATCATAGTTAAACACTAATAATACTTTTATATGATATAATGATATTTTTATTTTAATATACATTTTGGATATTGTATATAATTTATCCTCCGAGCTTCTACAACTTTTAATTGATACCTAGTACTAAGTATTGCTTACTTCAGTACTGGTTTCCGTATTTGGTACTTAAATACACACATACACCTAACTTTAGTACAGAACTTTAGTAATTATAAATAATTTAATAAATTACTAATATATATTGCATTAGTAATAATATTAGTTATAATATATATTATATTAGTAATTTATTAAATTATTTATAATTACTAAATTATTTATATTAATATGTATATACATAGATTTTTCTAACTTTAATTGATTTGATACTTTCGCTATAATACAATTCATTTATCAACTGCCTAAATTTAACGATTGGAAAATAATTTAAAAAATGATTATACTTTATACTACAACTACCAACCTGTAATGTATACCTGAATATAGTATTCATAAATAATATTATACAGAATGGAATGACAAAAGGATATATATGTATAATTATATTTCTATTATAATATAATATAATAACATTTAATATAATAATATTTCCATTTCTGTAATTATATTTCTATGTATAGTATACATAAATGATATTAATCAGAATGGAATGACAAAAAGGTATATATCTACAATTATATTTCTATATCAGTAAAAGTCAACTTTAATTTTACCAAGCAGTAGGTTTCTAACAACTGCAAAATCAAAAAGTTTGGGACCAGCCAGTTTAACTTGCTCGCTAGTTTTAGCGATGAAGTTTAGTTATATACATATTAATGAAAATGACCTTGCATCTGCCCGTCGCATGAGTTTCAGAACATCTGTCTTCCGAAAGACAAAAATAATTCTCAATCATCAGGTACGAAATATTCCAGATATTAAGTTGTTATATTGCTATATATATTAAAGATTAATATTCAGAATATCAAATAATAAGTTTTAAATAATTAAATTACTCTATCAACAGTATTCTTATTTTCATATATTTAGAACTATAAAAAAATGTTAATGTTAATTTATATAAATATTGTACATTCAAATCCTAATGATTTAATCCAAATCCTAAAAAATAATTCTAAATTTTAATATAAAACTTTTCAATATCATATCTTTCTTATATTTTTATTATGAGTTTGTAGTATTTAAGTTTGTTTAAGAATTGAAAATAAAATGCACATTTCTACTATACATTTACAAAATAAGTTGTCAAATATTCAACTTACTAATTATTTGTATTCAAAAGGGTTTTTAAATTCCGTATACAAAATAATTCTGTATATTTAATTTATATATTACATTACAATTGCACTACAATTTTATGAAACAATTTTTTTTTATTTTTAAAACACAGTATTACAAAACTTATTAATCTTTTAGTATCTATTGTTTGGACACTGAATAAAATTTACTAGAATTTTTAAATATTAAAAAATGAAAAAATAGACCTTCGTGTAATTATATTTTCAAATTTCATCTTCATCTAATATTCATAATCAACTTTTAATTATCGTCCAATACACAACTAAAACCTTTGTGAAAATGAGAACGTGTACTTTATAGTTAATTTCAAATTGTTACATGTAAATATAACATTAACTTAAATCCCCCTGTAATATTATTACAATATATAATACTAGTTTGATAAACATTTCCAAGAAGACTTATCTTTAGCGTTTTAGGATACTTTTACGTTCAAATACACATTCCTGTAGAAATGTCGAGAATTAAACAAAGGTGTTAAGAAGTAACAGCAAAACAGAAGTACCAATCACATTAGATGGGATTAAATTAAAGAGCGAAGTCTCATTTCCTTTATTACTGCTGTCTTTAACCTGAGTCAAAACAAATTTACAGTTTGAAGGAGGATAGCTCCTCGAGGTCGATAGTGCGACTGCCAAGGTATTTAAAGGATTTCCTCCCAGAATGTCAAACGAAACAATACATCACATAGTGTTTTTCTTCTCACCTAGGGAAGAAGCTTCTCCACTAGATTAACTGTTCCCTCGTTAAACGGTATTTCTTAATGAGAACCAGAACAAAATTTTAAATTGCAATGTACAGTGGATAGAAAAAGGTTGCCAAGATTAACAATAAACAATTTTTAGAAATAAAAAGTCTTGCACTATGCAGAAATGAAAAATTTAAAAGCTTTGTACAATGTACAATAACAAAATATACAAAATATATAATTCATAAACAAAAAATCAGTACTCTAATGCATTGAATAAAAATTTATTTTTACTTTATACATCATCTAAAGGAAAATTATTTAGTATCTCCAATAAATTGTTCTACTTTAGTTATGCAAACAATATGTTAATTAGTCATACAAACAATTTAATGAAATCATGAGTTAATTATTGGTAAATATGTATCAGTATAATAGTTAATTATGTATTCATAGTAAACATGATCAGCTATTTTATTTATAAAATTTATAAAATTTATAATAATATACAGAATATGAATATCACAGAAATACTCTAATATGCTAAAATATATTATAAAAATAATTAAACATACATAAAATAAATAATATGTACGTTTAATTTATATATATAATTTCCAGTAATAAGTGGTTCAAATAAATTATTTTATTATACGTTTCACTATAATAATTATGTAACTACTGTGACTTACTACATACAAACAATAAATCTATGACCAAACGCATACCTTATATTCATTGCAAAAAGAAATTAATCTACACGTTACAATTATTCCATATCTTAAAATGATTAAATAAATAAAAAACTATATAAACAAGTTAATATCACTCTGAACTAAACAAATTTAAATAAAATAGCCTGATTAATGAATTAAAATCACAGAAGTCAAAAATGCCCGTGTTAGTGAAAATTAGGTTAGTGCCTTTATTAATGTAAGTTACGTAAGCCAAGTTTAGATTCAAATTTAGCACGAACACTGAACAAAAGATACCTTTTCCACGCTCGAGACGTTTTCTTCGGAATCCTTTGATCGTCGAATAGTTGAAAACGGCAAGGTAATTTCTCCCTGCCACTGACACTTTGCGCAGCTTCACCTAATCAAGTATTGTTTGATATTATAAGTAAATGTGCAAAACAACAAAACAGTGACATTAAAAATAAAATAAAATAAAACAGAAACAAACGAACAAAAATCGAATGTGCAAGTACTGAAAAATCAGGGTTTGATCAAAATTGCGTGGTACGTTACACAATGTATTCAAAAAATTTTCCAAATGATACAAAAAATTTGAAATGGAAAAGAAAATTTATCTCTTAACTTTTTATTCGATCTGTGCATAAGATCATTTATAAAAAAATAATTCGGTTATGAAACTTAATTAAAGTGAAATTTAATTAAACTACTCTTAATAAATAAATTCTATGTCACGTTAATTCTTAAACAATACAAAATAGCATAATAGACCTGCATTTAGAGTATTATCGTATTACGTTCATTTTCATATATGTACTTTTCATTAAAATTTATCTCAAAGTGAATTTCAATTAAGTCTTTACAAACAGAGTCTATAGTCTATTCAAATACACATATAGTCTGTTCAAAGACCATATGAAATTATTCCTAATCAGTCTTCCTTTTCGAACTTTCCACATTTGAAACTTTGTATAAAATCGATTTTATATTCAGTCAGAAAATTTTAATTCCACTCCAAAGTTTTTACTTTTAATTTTCGATTCGAAATTTTCTTGATTTAAAAAAAAAAAATATTAACTTTGAAGCTTGAACTCATTGCTGATTTTATGTAATTTGAAAGATTTCACGAAAGCTGTAAACAAGTATTCTCGAAGGAATACAAAGATTGTATAATATCGAAAGAATGGTGATCACTTGGCAAATTTTGCATCCAATGGGACAGTTATAGTTTGAGATTTTAAGAATGCGGTTAGAAAAGTCAATAGCACGCATGGTGGCCATAGGGAAAAACCCATACACCCAAGAATGTTCCCCCACTCCTCGAGATGAGATGTAGTACCCCCACTCCTCGTACACTTGAGAAGTAGTATCCCCACTCCTTGTACTCTCAAGAAGTAGTAACCCCACTCCACGTACTCTCGCAAGAGTATCCCCACTCATGATACCCTCAGGAAGGCAGCCCCACAAAAGGTATACCTTTAAAAGCTATTCCTATATATACTTGTATAACGTGTTTTCCCAACACAAACTAATTTTTCGTCGAAATTTTCATAGCAATTTAGAATCACTTTACTAGAAATTAGAATTTTTCTAGATCAAATTGAAGCAAACCGGTAAGAAAGTAAATTGTATTCCGTAATTTCGAGAAATGTAGTTTACTGCATATGTGTATGATATAAGATTTTCAGGACCTTTTGAATTATTTCCATGAAATTAATTTAATGGGTATAATTGTGAAATATTAAAATAATTAGATAAGAGTCCTGCCAACAATACAAGGAAAGAGTTAGAGGATCAAGCTACAATTTGTGCTAAAAAATGCAAAAATTTGAAATTTCCAACAATATCTACAGCTATACATTATAGACAGCTTATATATCATTTTCATACATATTTGAAGCTTTTGTAGATTAGGGAAATAATAATTTTTTAAAATATATTTAAATATAAAAACATCACTGCAACATTATGTATTATACAATTATATAATAGTAACTGTATATGTAATTAAATATAATAATAACTAATTACATAATTAATATAATAATAGTTACATAAGCATGATATTTGCTATAATTACCCACTTTAAATTATCTTCAAGAAATTAAAAATATGCCACTATTTTGTTTGTGCCTGTGCTTCAAATGACAAAAATGAAACATTAAAAAATTCTTTACTTTTTCAACAGTTGCATAAAATTTAAATATAAGTTGAAATAACAAATTAAATATTAAAATTAAGCAAATATTTCTATATTTGTTAAATATTTATTAATATTTATGATAGTGATTATTTTCATCATACTTAAAATACATTATATATAAGCTACATTTTTAATATGAAAGAAATTTGTTTATATTTATACATAAAATATTTCTTTCATAATTTATGATAATCATACTAGTAAATTGATATTATGCTTACACTAGAAAATTAATTATCTTCATCATAATGTATGTATTAGGATATTGATCAACGTAATGTTTGTTACTAAATAATTTCCAAACCTCCGTGTACCGAAGTACACAAACGATCAAACTTGGGTCAAGCATTCTTCGATTTTCCGCTTAATAGGATAAAGCAAAATGTAGAATTTATAAATGAAAATTTACAATAATGTATAATAATATAGTACAAACCCATTTCTTATAATTGACTTTAACGTCATGTAAGAATATAATTTATTATTTTCTTTCTCTTTTGATCTAAACGAATAATATACAACTCGAGATTGAAATAAATTTTATTTTAAATAAAACACGAATACATTAAAATTATCCAATTAATTTTCTACAACAAAATATTTTCCACATCTCGTATTAATCTCAACATAAATAGTAAGCACTGATATTGTACGATTATAAATGACAGATATCAGCATATGGGAATTATGAATACTAGTGTATTTTTTAATAAAATATTAATAAATAAATTTACACGTTACACAACGTTATTCGTTTTATCTATGTAACAGAATTTTGTTTATCAAATTCATACATTTTCTCTTTATTATTTTCTCGGTTTATATTATTTTTCTGAATTTTTATGGTATTTTTATATTAATATTTTTTTAATATTTCGTAGTATACCATTGTATGAAATACCTATACATTTAAACCTTTTTATTACACTTTTAATTCCCTACAGTTGTTTCTGCACTCTGCATGTATCACAGATAAAACTGGAAATCTTGACAAATTAAAAATTTTGTTCAAATACATTCAGTCCAATACAAATCCAATATATCCGACCTGCATTTTCCGAATTGAAAAAAAAAGAGAAAAAAAAGAAACAAAACATAATAAAAAAAAATACTTTTTAAAAATCCTTAAAATCCTGTAGAAATAACATTTCTCGTTATTAATTTATATTAACAGACTTGCACTAAGTACCTCGCATGATAATTAATCAAAAAGCATTAAGAAACAAAAGAACGAATGGTGTCATTTCCGTGCTTCAAATTACGAGGCACGAGCTTACTTTCATAATTATTGACCTACTCACCAAGAGATACGGTTTTCGTAACAATTTTTCACGCGATTATTCTATTCTAGGTCACAAAAACATACTGAATGCCTGTGCTGAAATATTAGTTTCTTTGTCTGTAATACTCATCTGGTGAAAAGGACTCTTTCTAATTAAACATTAAGCGATTCATAGATCCACTGTGATGAAACTACGCAGTAAAAATAAATTTTGATAATAAAATTACTATAGTTTAGCATATCCAGCTTTCTTCGCGAGTATTGGAACACCTACTGGTTTCACGCAAAACGTGATAATTGACCCAAATTGTTGAGCAAACTACTTGCTGAGACTTCAACATAGTGAAGCTGATTATATGGCTAATAATGTTTATTTAATCAATTGCCTACGCACTGTCTGTTACAATAAACTATGACATGAACCCACAGTTTTGAAGCTCAAAGTATAAATATTTAAAAAATTCAATCCCCTGAAGAGATCCAAAAATAATAAGGTTCCAATAATACACTGATTGTGAGCATATACTTTATCTACAGCCAACTGTTCTTATTTATACTACTTATACTGAAAAACTTGTTCTTAGATACAGAATGTTGGATCCAGTGGAATGTCCTTTCAAAGTGTTTTAATCCTGTGTCTAAAATTAGATTCCTGTTCACACTGAATATACTAAGCTGAAACCATTTTCTGAGTTTCAAATCTAACTGTTCTTGCAAAATTGTGATTTACAGAAACATTCATTTTGACTAATTAGATTTTTAGTTCAAAGAAAACTGTGCTGTCTGTATATTCTTATCTCTGCATTGTTCAGTCTTGAAATAGTAGTAATTGCTATTATTTATTTCAGAATGCACACTTTCTATGTTTAGATATTTGTCTATGTGTGTATACTAAGTTCAAATTATCTCTTGAGTTTCAAACTCTAATTCTGTTTTAAATCTTACCATCTCTGTAAAAGTATAGCCTATAAAAGTTTTTATAGATTATATTTTGAATTTAAAGGGAATTGTACTATTTCTATATTCTTATTTGTACTCTAATTATATTGACATTCTTATCCTTAGTCATGTTGTAATATACAGAATGTTGAGGCCAATGGAATGTCTTATCAAAGTCCTTTAGCCTTGGGAACAGCAGTAATTATCCCTGCTTAGCTAAGAATGTCCAAGCTTTGTATTTAGATTCTTGTCCATACTGAGTGTACTAAGTGCAAACTGTTTTCTCAGTTTCAAACTCTAATTCTGCATTTTAAATCCAAGTGTCCTTGTAAAACTGTAACTCACAAAAACTTTAACTTAGTTTGACTAATTACATTCTGAATCTTAAGGAAAATAGTATACTATTCTTATACTCTTGTCTGTGCTACTCATACTGAAAATCTTGTTCTCAGTCATGATCTTATATACACAATATTGGCATGATGGAATGTCCTATCAAAGTTCTTCATTTAATTGGTGCACAGCATTCAAAATCCAATCAAATTCAATAAAAGAATCCAGGAAATTTAGTGGTATCCCGTATCACTGCTCTTCACATCCTGTCTGTCATTTGTTTTCAAGTCCAGGTTAACCATGCATGAATGCAGGTCAACGATAATTAGAGTTCTTTATTCTAAATGTCCATTGGTGTCTACCTGGCGTTCAGTCATCGACCCTCTATAATTGAATATTCCTTTGTCCGTGAAAAACGATAAATACTATTGATTACGCTATACTATAGTTTATCACTATAATGAAAGGATTAGAAACTAATAAATGGATTACATAGTAACAAAGGAACCAAAGCACAGATTGGTTTATGACAAGCCACGTGACATTGCACAGGGTTAATCCTAAGAATAAGATTAGGATACGTCCATTGCTATTGAGCAATAGAGACTCAAAGCTTAAATAGTAATTAAGTTTTCGATGCTTT